TGTTATTCCAGCATAACTGCATGCTGCCATAAAGTTTGCTACTCTTGTTGTTACTTCAACACATGATGCATGAGTTAAGGGTTTGGATAATTTAGCACTCATCAACTTTGAGCGAGCACTCTCTACAACAATCGATGCATTCCCAAAACTATCCTTCAAATAATCCATAAGTCTCTGTGATGACATATTCAGATATAAACTATCAACACGTGCTAGGGCTTGTCCCGTTAATGCTTGTCTGATGTGAGACTTTATTTGGTCATCAGTATATTCCCCTTCTTTCCAGCTCCTCATAACTGCTCTTTCAAACGTCAACCATCTTTCAGGATTACCATCAAACTTTTCAATCTTAGGTAAGTTACGACGAATTTCATTCAACGACAGCTTGTTGAGCTGCCTCAAAGTTGTTTCAATGTGACTCTCATTGTCACTTATTTCCGGTGGATGTGATGAAGGTTTCTGAATTGCTTCGTTGCTAGTTGATCCTCCAATCATTTCCTCAATTACTTGACTTGATCTTTTAATTTCATCATCAATGCGCGTAGATGCTATATTTGCATTTAACACCGCATTTGTGAATGAGGCATATTGTGGCCTTAATGACTCTGCTGTACCTTGTGCGATTCTACTTGGACTTGTTCCAAGCAAACCTGCATTGTGTGATGACTTTAGTAATTCCATTATTTGAGTAAGTTGATCTGACTGCGCTACTACCAGATTCCTTAATTCCTTGTTGGACTTCTTAATGGACTTATATTTCCTTTGTAACTTGCTTACATCGGTCCTCAGATTGTTTGATACTACGCTACCATTAGCATCAATATGTACAGTCCCTTCAACATATTCATCAGCACTTGAATCTGATGACTCTCCTTTGTGTACATTGACTTTGATATAGCATTTGATTCTCTCATCAAATGACAATGTATGAGTTCCTGCGCTGACTAAGCCTTGTGCGTCAGCATTCATGGGATTCCTCAAACATTTCGCACACATCCATGGAAGTTGTTGTTCAGTTACAGCAGCAAAATCAGTTCTGGAACAGCGTAAGTGATAAACATTATCACACGTTATGCACAGCACCATCTTTTGTAAATCCTCATATTCACGTTCAGATTGCTGGGCCGCGAACCATTTGCAGTCATTATCTAAACCGCATCTAGCATTTTCTCTCATTAATTGAATGCAGAAAATATAATTGTTTACGACTTTGCTCGTCGCATATTTTGCACGATACTGTGCCTTAGCATCAGGAACACTGATAAAATGTTGAGCTAAACTTCCGAGTTCTTCAGCACTTGTCATGATGCTTGATGTTCTGATGTCTATTTAATGTAACTTTTATAATCTTAAAGTGACTTGTTCACTTTTGCAAATTTGTATTGCGTTTCACAAACGACTTGATGACTATTTGCTACTTGTTAGCAATAAATGATAAGATGATGATACAATTAACGTATTGCCGTCCTCAAATGCTTCCCTTCTACTTGAATTGATGCACTTTTATCTTAAGTGACTAATTGTTGCACTTGATATAGTGACTTCTAATGTTTCACCTTCTTGATGACTATTTGATGCGCCTTTCTTCTGACGACTTGAATGTTGCACTCTTGTAGTGACTAACTGATGCGTCCTTTGCTCGACGACTTAACTTGTTGCACCCTTTCGATGCCTAGCTGATGCACTTATCTCACAAGTGACTGACGATGCGTCTTTTGCTCGACGACTTCCTTGATGTCCAAACTGATTGTTTGGTGCCTGTTGTATGGCGGTAAGTCACCTCTTGTTTGGTGACTATAAATTTGAGTAAATTCGATGCAAATTTTGCCACTTGATTGGCTTGAAATGTGCCTCTTGATTGGCTTGCTGACCAGAAATTGATTGCCTCTGTAGCCTTGAACTTGATTGATTTGTTACTTGACAAAAAATCAATATGAATGCACGAGGAAGAGAAAAACAAACAAAATGGTTAACTATTCTATTGTACTTACTACAGAGGTTACTGGATGTTGATTTCTGGCCAACTTATTCAATATAATGTGCTCTATTATGCTTCTGGATGTCGAATAATGCTCAATATGACGTCAAAGTAGAAATACGCGAGACTTCCACGTGTTTTATTCAAACTTAATCAATTTCCACTTATTCAACAGTTACAGCACTAAAATAACTAATTAATAGCCAATTCAAAGCTCTAAAGCATTAGCTTTCTTTTAATTTCTCAAATTAAGGTTAAGCACTAAATTTTTCTCAAATTTGTAAATTTTTCTAAAAGATGTGATTGAGTAACAAATCGATAATTTTCTTTTAACACTTATTCCACTTTATTAGATTCCACTAATTAAACCTTAAGGGGAGGTTTTAGAAAAATTTGTAACAAGACGTGTTAACTCGATCACGATACGAAGGGAAAGAACTTTTTACTTCCAATTGCTTGGTATTTCTCAAGCTCAAAAAAGATGCGAAACTTCTAATCGTAAATGATCGTTACAAATGTGTATATATTACTTAAAGATTCCTTTTGCTATCAATAATTACTTATAAATATGCATGAAATATGCATGTACATTGTAAATTTAATATAGCACTAAAAGAATTACTATTTTACTTTAAACTCTTGAAATTAACTGTTGATTTTATATAATTCTGTCGTTCGCTTAACGACAAAGTAATTAATCCTGAATTATGTCGCTATTTTGTCAAGTGTTTTAAGACAAAAAATTTGTTTTTTGGTTTCCACAGTGAAGAGTATGAACAAAATTCAGATGGGGTAGTCGAAATTTTAGATTTCGATTTTTTTTTAAGCTATGCATTACAAAAAGTAAAATTGGTATGTGATTTATGTCAGAATTATGTCAATTCAAATAAAACATCCAAAACATTTTTTTGACCAAAGTACACCATAGAAAATCAATTTTCAATTTTGGACTAGGGGCGACCCTAGTCAAAATCAATTTTCTCACTTTTTTCTTCGAGGGTTTATCCAAATGGATTGAAACTTTGCATAAATATTTTAATGCTTAAAAAAAATACAAATAAAATATCCTTAAAAATTATTTGAGCAAAGAACCAAGTAGGAAATACAATTTCAATTTTGGACTAGGGGCGACCCTAGTCAAAATCAATTTTCTCACTTTTTTCTTCGAGGGTTTATCCAAATGGATTGAAACTTTGCATAAATATTTTAGTGCTTAAAACAAATACAAATAAAACATCCTAAATTTTTTTTGAACAAAGAACCAAGTAGGAAATACATTTTCAATTTTGGACTAGGGGCGACCCTAGTCAAAATCAATTTTGTCACTTTTTTCTTCGAGGGTTTATCCAAATGGATTGAAACTTTGCATAAATATTCTAATGCTTAAAACAAATACAAATAAAACATCTTGAATTTTTTTAAGCAAAGAACCAAAAAGGAAATACATTTTCAATTTTGGACTAGGAGCAACCCTAGTCAAAATCAATTTTCTCACTTTTTTCTTCGAGGGTTTATCCAAATGGATTGAAACTTTGCATAAATATTCTAGTGCTTAAAAAAAATACAAATAAAACATCTTAAAATTTTTTTGAACAAAGAACCAAGTAGGAAATACATTTTCAATTTTGGACTAGGGGCGACCTTAGTCAAAATCAATTTTGTCACTTTTTTCTTCGAGGGTTTATCCAATTACAGTGAAACTTTGTGTGAGTATCTGTCGAATTCGGGTCGCCTCTGGTCCGAAATTGAAAATGTAATTCCTTCTTGGTTCACACGTGAAAACGGTGTGAATATAAAAATTAAAATCCGCCTCATTTTTGCAACAAACTTAAAATAATAATTAATTGTCAAAAGATTTAAGCAATTAAAACTTAATAGATTATTCATATTAATTAGCACCAAATGTAGAATGCGAGAGCAATTTCCTCAAACAAACAACAACGAAAATAAAGTCACATAATTTCTACATTTTAATTAAATAAAAATTTCATCTTATTTTGTATTTTAATTTGTCCTTGGTGTCTAATGAATCTCAGCAAAATTAAGTAGAGATTAACAACGAGTTATGTGATGTTCATGTGTGTTTGTAGATGCTTTAAAATGCTCATTAAACTAATAACAAATGTTGAACGATTGCATCAAGGAGAGAAGATGCTCGGGAGAAATTTTGAGTTTGCTGAATTTTTACGAGTAGGTGTCGCATTGGTATGCATTTATGGCCCGTCAATAAAATTGTAATTTTTTGGATGATTATCATGATTATTAAAAATAATTGGTCGATAATTATTTGCTGCAACGTCGGTGGGCTGCAATACATTAAGTCAGCAAGTGACGGCGATGCTTGATAGTTTGAGCAGACTTTGGCTTATTTTAAGGCAACTGTCATAAGAGCTTTCCATTGTGCCGTCATTAAACATACCGCCCACTTAGCTCTAGGTTGATAATTTTTGTAGAGGAACTGAAGCTCATTTCTAGTAGGCCGAAGGTACCCTTGAGCTATAAATTTATCTACTTTAACTACGGTGCCCTTCCTCTGACTACACATTTGACTAGTAGTTGACCTGAAACTCCTCATAGTCCTCGATACCTTCATCCTTAATTCCAAATGCGCCTTAAACATCCACAACCACAAAACTTCCCAACTTAAATGCTGAAAAAATGAATTCTAACTGCATTAATTAGACATGATTTGCTTTATAGCATAAATGCCTCATACTCACTCTTAATAGCATTCATTTATGATCATTGTGGTGATGCTGAAATATTTAAACGGGATTTCCATCTAATTACGTTAATCGTTTGTGTGTCAAAACACATGTTGTGCAAAATTTTAATGAAAATATTATCAACGCGAAACGACGGAAAAAGATGAAAAAAAATATTTAACTAAGCTTCTGCATGTTAAAGCAAGTAGCAAACATTAGCTGAAGTAATTATAAAAATAAAAAAATATTTAATTGAATGTGACAAGAATCACATTTTCAGTAAAGTGAATTTGCAAAATGTGTGTTATGTGATGTGCGCGCGATTGATGTTTTGATGCTAGACGCAAATGGAGGACGAAGGCAGTCAGATGGAAAATGTGATGCTTAAAAAATGAGTCAATTAGTGATTTATTAATAGAGTGTGATTAATTAACATTTGTAACGGATGCATTTATTTAAGATTTTTTTAGACTGGAGATAGATCCGAGAGCTACTTAGGGTAGCTACCTTAGTCTTAGTATCTAATCAGAGTAGAGTGCTTCTAGAATAACACTAGAAGCCAGCTTACTCATTTTTATCCTCATAAATTTCAGAAAATTCAGTCACTGGCTCTATTGGAGGTTTTGGAAGTTCCGACAATTCCTCAAATCCAAGCTCACCAATATAAGACTTAACATAGTCAAATCCTTGCACCTGGAAGCTCAGTCCATTATTAGCAGTTATACTAATTTTATTAAGGCACTTGAAAAGAACATCGTGATGATCAGGATATGGAAAAGACACGATTTTATGTCCATTGCCAGCAACTTGAAATTCATCGTTAGTCATATGAATAGCAAGCTTGAAGACTTCATCGAATTTAAAAGGATGCTTGCAATTGATTCCTCCATGCCAGGCACCATCCAAACTTTGAGAATTAAGAGCAATTATGTGATTTTTTAAGAACAGACGAATCTCAAAGTGAGCACAGAATTGATCAGTTCCGTCAAATAATTTGATGAAAATATCTCCGTTGTGATTTCCTTGAGGCAGTCCAGTAATAACTACAACATTTCCCCGACTATAATGAGCTGGTGAAATTGATTCAAAGGAGTTTGTGTTTATTGCTGGCCACATCGGTTCCTTTACTCTTCGTTGTAGAACTTTGTAAATATCTGACACATCTTTTGAGACATTTACAGCATAAATTGTTTCAATCGGCATTACATGATCATAAGTACAGAATGGCTTGCCGTCGATTGAAATAAAAAAGCAGCCTTGCTCAACAAAAATGTCAAATCTGAAGATCCCGCCTGGATTTACAGGATTTAAGACATTTCCATGAAACCAATTTTCAGTTCTTTCTTCTCTTACAGGACCAATTCCAATCTTTGCAGTACGAACAACAATTGGTTCCTTTTCAACATCCTTAAATCGGACAGAAATTTGAAGATGCACAACACTAGCAAATTCACTAATTCTGTCCCTTGGGATTAGTTCAATGTCGAATCGACTTGGATTTTCACTTGATTTTCCGACTATTGTGATTTGCTGACCGACTTCGACTGGGAATAGCTTGCTGTAGAACTTAGATTCTAACATTTTTTGAAGGTTTTTAATTTTTGGACACTAGATTGATTAAAGTTCAATGTGATTTCTACTAAAACTTAGAACTTAATGATGATTTTCACACCTTAAAAATCGAAATGTAAATGAGCAGTCAATCGAAAAGTCTTTAAATTCAGGCATACTACGAAGTTCAATTAAAAATAGAATATTCTACATCAGTGATGGTCAACCCGTGTGCCATGGCATACCAGTAAGCCTTGAAAAAATTTGGGAGATCCCTCAAACCGTGTGTTGTGTGCGGTTTTGGTCATATCTCAACATCAAGTGTGCAGTGGCACAAAAAAAAGGTGTGACACCACTGCTCTCCACCAAAAAAAGATCTTCTTAACCTATTTGTAGGCAATAATGTGCTAATTATCCCACAAAGTATGTGCTGCAAATGTCACACAACACACATTTTGAATGCCACAGTTCTACTTGTTGCACATGCACTCGAAAATTAGCAAGAAAATTTAAAATAGATTTTTCTATAATTATCTATGTTCAGGTTGTTAATTTAGGATTCAGAATGCTGTGTTTTTATCACTAAGCTATGCTAACATACTTATGTATTGACATTGAACGGATTGTGTAACACTCAAGTCACGAATTTTTTCTTGAGCATTTAAATAAAGATTGTTGCACTGATTGGTTGACTAGCTACGATTATGGCATATCCTTCAGGAAAAGAATTAATCTTAGACGCGATTTTGTGAAGATTGATGGCACACTACAGAATCTAGAGAAACTTTAAATGGTGGTTTCTGAGAAGGATTTGAACTTGCGTTTTACAAACATCCGGGATTATCACTAGCTATGCGGTATCAGTGGAATCTCAATTAAATGACAAAATGCCATATTTAAGTTGTACTCTTTGCACTTACATGATTTCCTCTTGACTAGCATTTCCAAGGGATTCTTCTATTCTTTAAAATCTCAAAATACACAATTTTCACGAGTTTTGAATATAAAATATGTTTTATTAGTATTCTGATAGTCATTCAAGTAAATTTTGGCAGTATATTAGTAAAATCTAGAACTCATTTATTAGATTTATCTTTAGTATTTCCAAAAAATATCACTACATCAATAAATATATCTCAAAAAATTAATTTTAAAATGGCATAAAATATTTTAAACATGTGTGAAATTCTCAAATCCTTCACAATCAGCTGGCAATTTCATATAAGCAACACCTTGAACTTGAACATTCAATCCACTGTTAGAATTTATGACGATTCCAGTCAAACTTCCAAAAAGTCTCTCATGTTCCTCAACATAAGCTAAAGTTGCAACTTTCTGTCCATTGATGGCAACCTGGAACTCATCATTTGTCAATGCAATGGCAAGTGTGAATGTCTCGCCTATGTTGAATGGATAATTTCCAGTAACTTCACCACGCCAATTTCCTTTATCATCTTGAGAATCTAAAAATATGGCTTGATTTTCTAATACTGCTTGGAATTGGAAGTGAGTGCGGAATCTGTTTGATCCATCGAATAAATTGACAGTAAAGTCTCCATTGATGTCACCTCGTGGAACTCCAGTAATGACGATAATATTGCCAGGATCAAATTGTCCAGGAGCAATGGACTCAAATTCATTAACATTAACAGCTGGCCATGGTCTAGGCTGAGCATTAATTTGGTTTACTTGATAAACAGCTTCAACATCGCCAGTAATGTTAACGACTTGGATTCCATCAACTGGCATTCGATGACTGTATGTACAGAATGGCTTGTTGTCAATGGAAATGAAGTAAGCAACTTCATCAACAAAAATGTCAACTTTAAAGTCACCGCCAGGTTTAAGTGGATTCAAAGAATTGTGAGGAAAAAGGTTGTCAGTTCCTTCTTCCTGACCCCATTGGCCACCAGCTTTAGTATTTCTAATGACTACAGGCTCATCACCAGCAAATCTAGCAGAGATATTAAGATGAATGTCATCATTTTCTTGACCATTTGCTGCTGTCAAGTCGATATTGAAACTTTCAGGATTGTTGCAAGCTTTTCCAACGATGGAGATGAATTGACCAATTTCAACTGGAAAGAGTCGTCCGTAGTAATTCATTGATGACATTTTTCAGAATATGATGATGACTGTAATGGAAATAAAAAAGAAATTTTATAGAATTAAATTTGCTGATTAGGTTTCTTGAATGTGTACAGCTGTAGTTGAATATGAATTTGTCAGTGTTGGTCAACCTTTTTCGAATCATGGAACAATTTGATTTTAGAAAAATATTTGTGGCACACATTAGTATCCTGTGTGACACCTTAGTGCCGCGACTCAAAGGTTGACCATCACTGCTATATGCAGGGATGTAGCCAGAGCTCAAAGGCCATACTAGCTATGAATCATCTAATCATTTGAAGACTTCAAATGAAACACCTTCATTCAGATTAATCAATAAATATTACTCAACAATTTAAAGTCATGCCAAAAAGATAAGATAAGAAAAATTCACCAAAACAAAGATAATTAAAGAATTTTTGGAAATGCATCAAATTCGATAAGGACATGGAACCGATAACAATTGTTTTTAATTGATTAACAAGTGTTTATGTCAATAATTAGCTCATTAAAGTTGGTTTATTAAGATTGGTCACATCAAATAATTGTCAAAATATATTTCACAACCTTCTCAATTTTTTCACAAAACCCCATCAACAACCCAACAATCAGGTGCACCCCAAAAATCACCCAATAAATCCAATTTATATTTTTGAAAAATTCTCAAATCCGCTGCAAGTTTGGTCCATCTTCATAAAATCAACGCTCTGAAACTCAACATTAACACCATTGTCCGAAAGCACCTCAATTCCAGTCATGCTGCCAAGAAGTCTTTGTATGTGATCCATAAATGGCATCGACACAATTCTTAAACCATTTGAAGCGACTTGAAATTCATTATTTGTGATTGCGATTGCTAGTTTGAAGTTTTGATTGACATTGAATGGATAAGGTTGTGGAAAGACTGTTGTTCCTGTACGCCATGAACCATTTTCATTTTGAGAGTTCACAAAAATAGCTCGATTACTTAAATATACACGGAAATGAAAATGCGTACGGAATCGATTTGATCCATCATAAAAATTGACTGAAAAGTCACCAACTGGATTTCCTCTAGGCACAGCAGTAATAACAATCACATTGCCAGAGTTAAATTGTCGAGGAATAAAAGCTTCAAAAGTATTTGGATTCACAACTGGCCATGGTCTGACCTGTGCACTTGTTTGATTGACTTGATAAACAGCTTCAATATCTCTGGCGATGTTTATAACTTGAATGGTGTGAACTGGCAGTCGATGAGTAAATGTACAGTATGGCTTTCCATCAATTGTGATGAAAAATGCAGCTTGATCAATAAAAATGTCAATTTTAAAGTCACCGCCACGTTTAAATGGATTTAAACTATTATGTGGGAACAAATTCTCTTGTCGTTCCTCCTTTTCCCATCCAGCACCTTTCTTATGAGTATTTCTGACAACAACAGGCTCTGTTCCTTGAAATCTCGCTGAAATATGAAGATGAATGTCTCCAGAGTCAGTTCCAGTCCCATTTCCAGCTGTCAATTCAAAATCAAATCGTTGTGGATTGCTAATGACTTTTCCAGTGATTGAAATGAGTTGACCGACTTCAATTGTAGAGAGTCGTCCGGTATATTTTAGAGTAGACATAATGGCAATTGGAATGTTTGAATTTCGAAATTGAACTGAATCAAATCGACTTGTAGGAAATTCAATATAAATATTTTTGGCGTTATCTTATCGATATTCACGGTGCAATTCTTCTTAATTATCGCAATGGATGAAGATAAGACGGCGAAAAGTCTTATCAATTTTTCTTTTAAATGACATAATTTTCAGACAAAAAAACTTTTTTGAGGTCGTTCAAAAATGACGTGTGTAAATAAATTGGAGCCTTTGTTAAAATAGCAGTAGCGGTAAATTGGCATCTGTGGTATAAGTGACAGAGCATTGGCCTTACGTGCCTAAGGTTCTGGGTTCAATCCCAGGCCAAATCAAGTTATAGAAGCTCTTTTTTGAGCTTTGACGTCTTCAGCACATAACGTGTCTCCCTTGCTTGGTATACTAAGCAGTGTTGCATTCTGGCTATTTGTCTGGATCAGATAAATTCTGAGACAGAAATTTCTTCATAAAATCGATTCTACATGTAGAAAGAAAAAAACCATCTACATGTAGATTGTGTCTACATGTAGAATCTGTCTACATGTAGATTTAATGTAGATGTCTACGATTCTACATTCTTCTCTGATGTAGACCTGGAAAAAATGTAGAATTATAGACATCTACATCGAATCTACATGTAGACAGATTCTACATGTAGACGCAATCTACATGTAGATGGTTTTTTTCTTTCTACATGTAGAATCGATCTTTATGAAGAAAGTTTCTTAGCTAGACAAAAACTATTGAAGAATCTACATTCTTCATCTAGTGTAGACATCTACATTTGCAACACTGATACTAAGCCCCCCCCCCCCTCCCCTCAACCCACCAACCCCCCAGTAACCCTAAATCCTAAACTCAACTTGATTCTACATTACGAATCAAGTTCTCAATTGAATCAAAAAGCGAAATCACTCGCTCTGTTTATGGAATCGGAAATGGACAAGCAAAATACGATTGGAATCATACAGCGCAACTTAATTGATTCTGTTTTCAATTTGGAATAAAACTGTAAAAAAACTTTTGAGCATCTTTATCGACAGATGCTTACTCATAGACACAAATCAGCTATAAAAATTGTGAATTGAATCAAAAAGATTTTAAAAGCATGAAAGTTTGAAGAGGTTTGTTTAAATTGAGGTGTGGTGCGCATTTTTATGTAAATTGTGAATTAATTAATATTCGTTACTGACTTGTGTGATGATGCAATATGATGATTTAATTAAAACAAGAATGCGCTTGTTTATGCATAGAATGTGCAGCAAATGAATGTTTATTTAATTTTTTTTTTCTTTATTAAACTGACCCGATTCAATGACGGAATGAGTCATGCTTAGACTTGAAGTGTGAAAGCAATTAGATAAGCATTATTTCTATGAATAAAGCAAGCTCATGTGTCACATTTTAGTGCAAATTTAGAGTTGTTAAAGGAATTTGGGATTTTTTGAATTTTTTGGATGCTACCGAACGAAGAAAGTAAGTTGAATGGGTTGTTTTTAAACTTGTTTAACCAAATATCACATATTTTGTTCTTTTTCCAAAGTGTTTAGGCCTTCTTTTGCTGGGTTTCTGTGTGATGTCACGGGTCAAAGATTGTATGACTTGTTCCATAAGATCAGATAATAAATTTAATAAAGAAAGTTCCAATTTGGGTGAGGTGAAATTCCCGGTAGAATACACTAAAAGTCTGTAGGACTGATGAATTGGTCAGATAGTTTGGCTATCATGTAACCGATTAGGCATGAAATAACTGTGATAGACATACAACAGTGTCACTTTGATAGCTCAGTGGACCCAGCAATAACTCTAAACCCTTGATAATTAAAATTAATTTTATATCTGAATCTTGATATTACTTTTACCAGGTCTTACTGGAGACTCATTAGGTAATTTCCAAAGATCAATACTATAATAATAATGTGAGAAGGGCCCAGCCTTTTCAGCTGGAGGCACTGCGAATCAATTTGTAAAGAATCTATTGTACCATCCCCTTTCCAAAGATCTAGTTCTACACAAATCTCACAAGTTTACTAAAAACCCGTCTTTAGAAGTTCCTTGATTATGTCCCTATTTTAGAAATTTTCAAATAAACACCGCTTCAAAGACAACCCTTAAAAAACACTATGATACACAATAATTTTATATCGCAAAACTTTTAATATAACTCACAATACCTTTAACTTCTATAAATTTAGCTGGAGAACTAAAATACTCAATTCAATCACTAACGACCAGAACGAATACTGATTGATTCATATAAAATAATATTTAAAAGAAAAGAAAAACTGTCGATCGAATCCAGAGCTTCGCAACATTTGTTTATTAAGTACTTTAATTCAGAGAAGTTGAAAGAGGGTCTTAAAAATTCGTGTTATGTTCCATGGTATTATAATGGCTTTTGAAGTTCTATCAAATTATTTAAGAATTTTTCATCTTATGGGAACCAAACCCGAGTAGCACAAGTCGGATAATTGAGACGAAATCCTAGACCAGTGTTGTCGAAACTTTTCTGAGCTACGGCACGCTTTAGGGGGAAACCATGACCAAAATCGTACACAGCATATTGCTCGCGTCATTTTCAAAAAAATTATTTGGCAAACCAGTGTGCTGCGGCACACAGTTTGGACAACACTGGCCTTGGCAATCGGCTTCAGCATCTTGAATTCACAGATTCACTTGACATTCCAGATTAATTTCTATTTAAACTCCCCACACATGAAGAACTGGAGTAAAGAATTCAAGACTATTCCATAATGCACCTCTGGACGTTTTCAAAACTTCACGCGTATGTGAGCATGTATCAAGTTTCGTACGAACACAAAGAATTTCAATTATCACATTAACGATCAGTTCAAGTATTTTTGCATTATGGAAATTTTGCAGCTATGAATTTAATTTAAATACTTTTAAGTTGCAGTTGTTTCTCAACAAAGCACGCGTCTTGAGAATCGAGAAACAAGAAATCTCATAAAAAAATTGTCTAAAAATAACTCAATTTTATTACAATGTTCAGAGACTCTTTCCGATACTTCGACATAAATAAACAGAAAATGAATTCCAATGTTGTGAGTTACTTCCATGCTCACAAAGGGCATTGCCCTTTTTAAACACTTTTATGGCACCAAAATATTCTCAATTAAGTACAGTCAGACAAACTGAATCCCACAAATCCACAAAAAACATTGCAACAACAACAAAATCTGATGCCGCACTCACTGAATTAATTAATTTAAATTCAATTAATTTTCTTTTCTTGAAATTTCTTTTTGTTGTGCCGCTCACCAATCAATGTATCGATAGATCGATAGATATATTGGATAGACCGTGTAATGATATGGGAGATTATTACTTACTGGATGATAATTTTCTCTCTTTTTATTCCGTCTGATCTTTATGAGTTCTTTCTAACTACAGATTTATTTTTAGCATGTTTTAAAGTTGCTTGTGCATTAGAATGAGTTCATTTTGAGTTAAGTGAGTGAATGTATGTTAATGACTCGGACGGATATTTTATCTTATCTTTAGTAGATTTAATTTTGCAAAATAAATAAAATCAGAGCTTGAAGCTTGATCAAGTTGACTACATTTCTTTTATCAATTCCGAAGTCTGTAGTAAAGTGGATGAATATGACTTACTTGTTATCCTCCCTTTTTCGGTCAGTATTGTAAACTTAGTATTTTTATATAACTAGAACTCGAATTCAAAACGATTTGGGATAGTCACTGGGAAGTTCTCAGAATCTGAGCAAGGCAGGACCTAAAAGTACCTTCTTCCGTATCTCATAAGAAAGTCCATAGGATTAAAACAGTGTTTCCCAAACTTTTTTGTTGCGCCGCACATTTTTTACATAAAAGTTTTGACGGTACATCTGAATAGTCTCGTGGCACACTTAAAGATTTTCATGACCTTTTTGAAATCACAAAAAATTAAAAAAAAAGGAACACACACACACACACACACACACACAATAGTGTGCCGCGGAACACAGTTTGAGAATCACTGGATTAAACAGTAAGGTGGCATAGCTAGCCAATAAAAAACCAATCCCTTCTGAAAATTGAATAGCTTGAGCAGTAGCAGTGTATTCTGTGCCATTGAACACTTTGGTAATGAACCACAACCGAAACCACCCCTAGCAGAAATTTACTAGTAATTTCCTAGTAATTTACTGGATAACTTTCCATTTGCTACTTGCTATTTACTAGTCAAAATCCAAGTTCAAATCATCGCCAAAGACCCGCATTTTCACTTGCTAATTGACTAGTCAATTCGCTTACAATTTAACTAGTAATTTACTAGCAAATTTTTAAAAAAATTAAATGAATATAACCGTTGATTTCCACGTGTTCTTTTGATTTTTTTTATTTGTGTAAATTTTTGTAAAAGTATTAGTGTGTTCTTATTTAAAGTTAATTAAAGTACACTAACACTATGAAAAAAAAATAAAAGACTTAATTTAATTAAGTCGAATACTGATGAACACCCATGACTCGCACGCAAACCTGAGGAAGATAAATAATTAATTGAAAGTCACATACAAATTTGGATCGACCTTATAAAGGTGATTTCTGCGCGCTCTTGTGAAGTATATGGCCAATGCCAAATTTAGAACAAAATTTTTTATGACGCAAAAAATTCTTTTTTTGATGATTTTTCTTAGGATTCGAACTTAAGAAGATTTGATCAAACATTTTATATGGCAATATGCTAGTAATTTGCTAGTAAATAGCGAGTGTAATTTTCTAACAGTAAGTTGTTTTAATAATTACTAGTAAATTGCAAGTAGTAAAATAGAAAGACTAGCAATTTGCTAGTTAGTCTCGCTAGGGCACTAGTGTACCGCTGAACATAGTTTGGACAACAGTGAAACGGGTTTTTCGGTATGCACCTACCATTGCGTCTGTAGCTTAACCGACGAAACCTAGTGTCTTGACTCTAGAGCAGTGTTGTTTAAACCAAGGGTGTGGTCCTGATGAAATGATAAAAAGTGATCAAAATGTAATTCTACAGTTCCAAACCCGTGGTCCAAACTTTTTGAGCCACGGCAAACCTTAAGAGTAAGTGTCGCGGCACACAGTTTGGACAACACTGCTCTAGAGTGTAAAAATGATCAAAAATGACCAAATTGAGAGTAATTAACTCTGGACCCTCAGATGTAGTGTTCAACTACACTGAGATGATTATAACGAGAGAATGGTGGCAGTTTAAGAAAACATAGTTATGTGAAGACAAATTGTAAACCCCAATTTTCCCTACTTACTCAAAAACTCAACCTAGATCTACCAACGTTACATATAGTCAACGGCGTAGAAAAGATTTTGAAGACGGGACTATTTATTTATTTTTTCATTAAACTCTTACCAAAATGAAGATACTTCTGTTGACGAAGGAGAATCTATCATCCGCTTTGGCTATGCGCTAGCATGAATCATCAGATGCAATCTGTCCCATAAAGGAAATGCGCGTTATATCTTCCCAAAAACAAACCAACTTCCTTACTTAAATTTCTTATACAGCCGACTTACTTGTTTTGCTTGTTTTTTTTTTATTAGCTCGCTTTTCACAGCTCGATGAGGAAATGTGATCATTTATTGAGATGTGTGTTGAGCATATTCTCTTTTCTCAATTTAATTTCAAATTTTCAGCGATCGTTCGAGTTAATCCGAAAAAAAGCATTTTACAGTCAAATGTAAGAGAAAAAAAAGAAGAGCAATTTATTCGAATGCATCAGCGGATCATTGATGTCCATTCATAATGCAAAGTACTTTATTAGAAACCGTCTCTTTATCTTTGTGTTGTTTTTATTGGATTTAATGTGAACAATGAGGAATGAAAGAAGGGAAAAATGTGTTTAATAAGAGAAAGAAATTCAACCAGAAGAATGATCAAAGAGATTTTACCGACTAAGTCGAATATGGGATGTTAAAAAAAAGAGTGATTGTGTGTATTTGTGTGGCAACTCATTCAATATAAATGAACACTTTTAGCATTCTCATTAATGATCCATAAAATTCACATTTTTTTTTTGTGTTATTCAGAACGAGATGAAAAGAAGTTTTTCATGCCGCGAGCATGATTTTTCAGAAAAAAAGGAGGAATGAACAAAGAATCTCGTCATTCTGCTGTTGCTTGCTTGCTGCTGGATGCTAATAAAAAAAATGGTCTATCCTCCTTGCTTTATGTAGAACTAGATAATAGTTGAACAAAAGGATTAATTAAAATATCATCATGATGATATAATGACTGATGAAAGATGAAGAAAGAATAGAAAAATGAAGAGATTAATGATGAACATTAGATGTGCACAAAATTAATTGATGTCATGCAAGTTTTTGGAAGTTGAGGTGACTTTTTTAGAGAAGGTATGAGGCGCATTGTAGGAAATGAGATTAATATTGTTAGAAGTGGAGCATTGCATCTGTTTCTTATGAAAACTAGGCATCCTTATCTAGTAACAGTCAAATTATATGTTCAACCTCAAAGAAATGGATGTCATCAAGTATAGCTATATTCAATTCTGAGGCATGGTACTCTAAGTTACCCTAAAGACCAGCTATGGCATCAAAAGAATGTAGAGTCGTCACTGCAATGTTCGTTAAGGGCACGAAATGCCAACTCTAGATGGAAACCTAGAGGGTTGATTTTCAATTAATCCAAGATCATAAACTAAAAATAAATTTTAAAGCCATGGTCATCTTGACTCAATTTAGTCTTTCAGATTTAAAGAATTTATGAGACTCAATATTAGCCAGGAACAGGGGGTGGGGGGGAGGGAATTTCCATAGGTCAACAGAATTTTTCTTCATTTTGTACAATTTTTTATTGAAAAATCCTAAAAGTCCATGCAAAAAATGTTTTTTGTTACACCCGCCCCCCCCTCTCCCACTTAAAATCTGGCTACGCCTCTGATGAGACTTTACCGGTAACTAGATAAAGATGCTAGAGTTCTTAATATCTTGAAATGGCGGTTTCGAAAGCAGAGCTATCTTTAGAAGTTCTTTACAAATGATTACGGACCTCCCTGATCTCCAGCCTTGATGTTAATAAATAAGGAGCTCAACTGAATAGGGATAAGCATTAAAGTGCCTCATTTCTATTAAAAATCCATTGATGTTTAGATATACTTTTTAAGGACCTTCAGCCATCACTTTTGGTTTATATACCCAATAACTGAGTACTAAATTGGTGCGTAACCAGGTGGGGTTTTGGTGACAAAAATCCTCCTCCACTTAATTTATTCCAACCAAAAAAAAATTTCACCTCTGCTCCCCCCTCCTAAAAATTCCTAGCTACGACTCTGGTAACAAAGCATCAAAAACAGCCGTAAAATCAGCAACTTAAACAACAATCTCACTCAAAATGAAGCACACGAATCCTCTTCACATTCACACACAAAAATGCTCATCACATATCCAGTCATCAGTCCTATTCTTCAGCAATTACTACATTCTACAGCACATAGAAAAATATCCCATAGCTTCTGATTAAAAATGACTACGCAGAAATTGTGCATCATTCCATGAACGAGAAGATTAAGTTATAAAAAAAAATCACAACCATAACAAATTGGACCTGCTTTTCTGCTCTTTTGACTCATATCCTGAAAATGAGAAACTCGTGATGTGCGAGAGAAGAGAAAAGGCAAAACAAATTCTTTCAAACCGCCATCACTTAATAACGATGAGCGTTATTTTGTTATGGTTCAAAGGATTTAACAATATATCCACTCAGCCATGTGTGGTCTTGTCAGTTGTTGTTTTTTTGGCGAGCAAATATATTTGCCCTATATGAACCGCACAAAAATGTTCTTGCATTTCGACATTTTGAGAATATTTTTATTATATCCACAATAAATTTTTCAGATCGAGCGACGTGTGGAGCGTGTTTTGAGGTTCTTTTGTAAGACTTAGTCGTAAAGACGGGAATAAAATTTGTCATAGGAAATTAAACATAAAATGAATTAATGCAAGGTGCAAACTCAATCATTTCTGTGACTTTCTAGAAGATGAAAAAAAAATTAATTTAAACTAATTTCTTATTCATTTTCGATTCGCCTCATCATTTTAATGAAGCATCTCGCTTTTTAAAAAATATATTCAAAGAGGAAGAATGAAAAATTTGCATCTGCTCCAGATTTAATCAATTTGTGATCGTCCATTTGAGATGGAAATGAATGCTGTCGAATTTAATTTATTTTTGTGTAGGTATAAAATGTCATGTGATGGGCAGAGAGGTAGGCAATTAAAGAAACATTTATCATGAAAGAAAAATATTTTTTTGAAAATTTAAATTTTGAGGGTTTTGGAAATTTTATTCTTTCATATTTTATGGAACTTACTAAAGGTTTTAATTTTTTTCTTTCCATTTATTATCATCGATTGAGAAATTGCGATGTTTATTATTATTATTTTTTTATTGATTTGTATGAATTTGGCTAGTTTAATGAATTTGAAAATTTAGAATGTCAATTTTAAAAATTATTTATTCAAATAATTTTTAAAAGTTAAAATTTGAACAAATTTGAAAAAGTTTGAAATGGTTGACAAAATCTGAAAAATGGGTGGAAATTTGATATATTTAAAAAAATTAAAGAAAATATGAAAAACTTTAAAAATTGGAAAAATCTTAAAAACTTCGATAACAAATTGAAAAAGTTGAAATTAATTCAGAAAATTTTTAAAAAATTTGAAAAGTTAATAATTTAAAACATTTAAAAATTTAAACAGCAAGAAAATTTCAAAAAAAATTAAAAAATGTTTTGAAAAATGAAAAAAATTTAAAACTTAAAATTTTGAGAAAAAAAAACTCATAAAAATTTTAATATAAGTTTAAAATTATTTGAAAAAGTTTAAAACTCTAAAATGTTAAGAAAAATATCAAAAAATCTTGAAAAATTTTTCAATAAATGTTTAAAATAATTTGAAAAAATTTTAAAACTCTAAAATGTTGAGAAAAATATTAAAAAACTTTAAAAAAATTTAAAAAAAATCAAAATAGCAATGAAAGTTGTATTAAAAGTCAAAATAATTCAAAAATATTTTAAAAAATTAAAAAAAAATTCTAAAGTCAACAAATTCAAAAACAAACGCAAATATTTTTCAAAATTGAAAAATAAAACTTAAAACAAATAAAATCCATTAAAGTTCAAAAAATTTATAAAATTTAAATAAATTGAAAAATTCTGAAAATAAATTTTAAAAGAAAACGAGTTAAAGTTTCTTCTTAACTTGAAAATTTGAATTTTTAAAAACTGAATCAAATTGATTTCTAAATTTGAGGAAAAATAATATCTTAAACAAATTGATCATGAAACTCAAAACTCCATCAAATGGTCCTAAAACCCAATAACATATATGAAGCTCATCCATTTGCATTACCATTTTACAGCTCCCTACATAAAACACAATAGAAATAAAAGTAGAAAGTCAGAAATTGTCTCTCACAATTTACAATATCGTGTCTATAAAATGTCATATTATGCCACTTCACACTTCATCATTTCGAGTCTCTTTAACAAAGTCCTATAATAATAAAAATATCTGTCCTTTTGTTATTTGCAGCTTATGCATGTGACAACGTCGGAACTTTCTTAATATCTACTGCATATGCCCTAATTGCCAATTCGATACGGTTAATGAATATCCAATTGATTGGCAATCGAGAGGAGATGACTAGAGAGTATATTGAGTATGATTGAAGACCATAAATAATTACTGTGCAATGTATGATGAGAACTAGGGTCGATCGATATCAAATGATGCATTTTTATTATTTTTTTATGAAGGTCATGAAGTGTGTGAATTTTTTACGGGATTAAATTTGCATGACTGTGCACAAAAAAATCCGACAAAATAATCATAAGAACTGCAACATTCAAGGAAACTTACTTACAACATTTTATTGGTCAATTGCATATTAAATCCAATTCATTGTTTAGTGAACAATAAGCTGTAAACACAATGTTCTGGATTACTTGCTTATGTGTTGCATTTTCAGGGCGTGGAAAATGTCTCGCTGTGTTAGTGCCAAGAGAAAAGCTTCAAAGCTCATTATTATTGCACTCGTAAGCTCCACTGCAATTCAAACTGCAAATATAACAGTTTTTGTCAGCTGCAATAATAGTGTGAATTTTATTACCCGTCGGTTGAATATTAAAATAAAATAAAACACAATCAATTAAATCTTTTTTTCATGCTGCTCCGCATTTATTTACATTCTTTGTACAACTCTTAACTTTTTTATGTTATATCCATTAATTTCACATTTATATTGATTTTGAATGATGATTTGTAATATTTTTTTTTATTTTATTTATTTTATTTTATGTACACATAAAAATATATATCCTCAAGGCTTTCTCACTCGACACGAGTTGGATTTGTTTGTTTTAATTATGAAGTGCTTACAATGTTATTAAAAGAATTATTGCAAAATTGATTAGTTTTTTTTTAAAGACTGACATTCTTGGACATAAAATTCATTAAAGACGTTATTTAAATAATTTTTCTATCTAGAGCAGTGATGGGCAACCCATATGCCGCGAAAAGATTCTGAAAATTTTACGAAGAAATGGCCGTGCGTGGTTTCGGTGATGGCTTGTCATCAAAGTGTGGCGTAGCATAAAAGAGGTTGAGCACCACTGATCTAGAGCAATTATTCGGAGACATTGTGTAGGCTTAATTGCTTGCTTTCTTGATGGCTGAAGGATTTGAGGAGCAATTAAAAAAATTAAAATAATTTTGTAAAACTCATCCTGCAGGCTAGATTTAGCTACATGCACCCTCCCTGCAGCCAGTATTTTTTATGTTTTAATTTAATAAACCTTAATTGCCAATAATTATTCAAAATTTCAACAAAAAGTCATCACCAACTGCAACTGGACTTTTTATTAATTTTCTGAATCCTTTCCATTTATTAATGTTCAAAATGACAAATTTAATTTTACATCCATTTTTTTACTTTCATTAAAAATTGAAAAGTGTCAGCAAAAATTAATTAAAACTGTCAATATTAATTTTTGTATCAATTTAAATTACTTACAAGCACTTTCATTCCAATTCAATTTAAGAGTTCCAAAAAGCCTTGAAAAATTAATTTAAAAACATATTGCAGTACGGGGACATTCTCAAGGAACGACCGCAAAAATTAAAAATTATTTGAAGGCACCTAGAAAGACCAGGGCTCGTTCATTCAAAAAAGCGATTATTAGACCAACTTCCAGCACCACGCTTAAATGAAGTCACTATTAAATCAAACGCCATTCGAATCTTCACAAATTAAAGATTACTAAAAACTTCAGACCTTAATAATCGACATCATAAGTTAACAACTCCTTTAAAAATTAAGATTCATTCCAAGATGTAACAATCTTCTTTGTGGTTTTATATTCCCGTGAATTTTCCTGTTCTTATTTCTCCAAATGCTTCTAATTAAATAATTATAAAAAAAAACTTCACACACATATTTTCATCAAATTTGCTCATATCTCATGAAACAGATCTCAACAATAAACGAAATGGACATGAAACTACATTCAAAAATATACGAATAAATAAATCATCAGTCTCAATATACTTAAAAAATATAATACATTAATTTATTTTTTTTTTTCAAGAAGAATTAACAAAAAAGTAAAAAGGAAAATCATTTTTGTGGACTCAAACTATCATCATGCGATGCAATCGGCTTCTTTTTCAGTAGATTCATGTCGGTAATATTTTTAAGGAAGCTCTCCTGTCCCGATAATACCTTCACACTCTCAACATCCTTTTTAAGTTCTTCAATATCGCGTTTTAATTTTGCCCTTCGATTCTGGAACCAAGTTATTACCTGTAAAGATAAAAGGAGACGAAAGAAAAGAAAAAAAAATCATTAATCCTTTGTTCCTTAAATGTAGCATCAATAATTATAGATTAATGGCTTTAATGCCTTTAATTCAAAGGTGTTAGTTAAGGAATAAAAATGCATTATGATCAATATCTGTTAAATATATGTACACAATTATACATTACATTACATTACATTAATTCATTCTGAATGGTGATTGTTGAGATAAAAGGTATGGAGGATGATACATCGAAGAGACTATGAAATGTAACTTTTACGAGAACATTCAATAGGCACTCTTTTTCGTTTTTGCTCTTTTATTTTGGAACCATGTGATCACCTTTTTTGATGATTTTACAATTTTTTTATTTTTTTGTGTTTGTACAATTTTTTTTTGTTTTGGAGAAATTGAGATGGATGAGAAGAAGAAGAGGATGAAAAATATGAAAAGAGAGAGAAAAATTATTTGTTACGATTATTTTTTGTTTTTTAATTGTTTTGTTGTGCATTAATATTGTGAATCATGTCGACTTTTTGACACTTTTTTGAAGGATGCTGAAAAGTTTTTTAAGGAAGTTTATTTAAAGTTTTGGTGATGGTGGTGCTGAGTGTTGTAGAATTAGAGGAATTAAGGAATATTGAACAATTGATTTTTAAGAGCACTAAGATGACGAACATCAGACTAAGACTAACGTTTCAACGATTAAGACTTAATTTAACGCTTAACTGGCATCGGCAAACCAGGAACAAGCCGAACCGAGAAATTATCCGCATCATAGGTTTTTAAATACCATCCAAGAATGCTCCAACTCAAAATAAACACGTTGATATCCATTTTTACGCCGTGTACCTTTCGAGCAATAGTTGAATCACAATGCATCAGGCTTAAAATACTAGTTTCTTCACACAATTTATCTTATTTAACCTCAAATAACCTCAAATATTTAAATAAAATTATAAAATCAAACGGTACACAACAAAACCTTCCAAAAATTCCAAAAATAATTTCAGTTCTTCATACTTCCAACTGCAAAAATTTCATGACAGCTTCTGCCATTTTTATTTTATTTGCAAGAAGCCATTTTGAAGTTCTAAATTAGTTGAGCGAAATCAGACAGTTTTCCTTGAAAAACAGACTTTATTTTATTTTTTAATAATTTACAAGTTTATTAATTTCGTGCAGTTAGCCAATTAAGTCCTTAAACATAAAATTCCTTTTTAATGAAACTTACTCCATGACTATGTCGTTAATATTTTCATACCAATCGTGAGCCATTTTGAGTAGTTTAAGTAATTTTTCTTTAATTATTTGCATTTAATTATTTATTTAATAATTGCTAATGAATTGTTTACTTGGGAATATGGAGTAATAATGTGTGATGGGATCGGCAATTTAAGCTGGAGGCAGCAGGATAGAATCTATTGAAGGAAATCCTTTAAAACTTCTGTTTAAAGTCGAATCTTAATCATTAGCAATCTTTGCACATTATAAAGACACGAGGACTTTTAGGGGCATAAAATATATCAAAACCGAATGACGGAATCGTTTTATCGATCAGAAATCCGGCACCAAGCTGATATGATGTCACTTTGGCATGTTTTCAGATTTTAATCAAAGCCAGCACCATGCTAGAGTCATGCAAGCTTGACGGTCGGATTTCTATTCGATTAACTGACTTGTGCTTTTCGGGTAGTCACAATGCGTGTGTGCATTAGAAGAAGTCATTAAGATCTAATGTATCCTTGCATACCAAACAAAGTAGACTTACTCTTTGCCAAAGACTTCAAAACTATGTATCTCATCAAAATGAACAGAGAAGTTCCAACCAGACATGACCTAGGATCACCCCCATCTCCTCCGTTCATTAAAAATGGACATCTTCTTATGATGCATTTCATAAGCAAATGATCCACTTGGCTTTAAATCTCAAAAATAGTTCAAACATCTGAAATTAATTAGTGAAAATATTTATACATAAGTGAAACCTTGCGCGCACAAGCTTATTAATTGACTAATTTAATTTTATTGGCACCAATCTGTCAGTCAATCAATCAAATTATTGGCAAATTAAATGACTTGTTAAAAAATTTATTAATTAGCTTGAAGATTAATTTTAAGTTTGAGGTTCTTTTGAGAACTTTAATTGGATTTTATTGAGAAGATTTTACTAAGGGGACGTTCACTTATGACGTCAAGGGGGGGGGGGGTCAGTAAGAAAAGAACAATAGAAACTCCTGGAAATCTATTGTTCATTTTTGAAAAATGACCATTAATTTCGGACGTCATAAGTGAACGACCCCTAAGGTTGATGCTTGCTTTAAGGATTAAGCATTTAACATCTAATAAAGGATTGGTTTTAGACAAGGAATCTAGAACATGAAGAAAAGGATCAAAGACTACTGAAGATGACCACAATTTGAACTTAAACAAGCCTGCAGCAACGAAAGTTAAGATTTTTCAGAAGACACTAACGGCCTGTTTCACTAAAGTGGATTATCCTCGATTTCGGATTATCCACTTCAGTTTTTTGGAAATATCGCCAGAAGCTTAAGGTTATTAAGAGATCTAATGTGTGATCTAGCAAGAGTACTTTGTTACATAAATCAACATATACTTAGAATTTTTATATCTTCACTAGTTTGAGAATTATAGCAAAAATTGAAGTTAATCTACTAGATTTGGCTAGGAAATTGAATAATTGATAGTTCTTAACGAAAAGTAAAAGTTTAAAGTATACAGAAAATTCAGGCATAGCTCACTCTATTATAATCCAAAATTAGAAAATCCACACCTCCCATAAAGTTTAAGATATTTCCAAAAAACTTAAGTGGATAATCCGAAATCGAGGATAATCCACTTTAGTGAAACAGGCCGTAAATTCTTAAATTGACTTCAGGCATCAAAACCCATAGCCTCAAGCAAAATATCGAAAACATGTCAAATTTCTTCATTTTCAAAAAAATCAACCTGCCTCAAACCCAATTACAACTAACGAGCTCAATTGCTTAACTCTCAATACTTAACCCAGCCATGTGCAACTCATTTCCTATTTTTTTACACAACATTCATTTCATTTTCCTGCTAATTTCTGTCATTTGTCAGCATTATATGTTATGTACAACATAACCCAAAAAAAAAAGAACAAATCTAAAGTCATCATGTCGACATGATTCAAGCATAAAAAAGATAAATTCAACTGAATTTTCAATTTTCTCTTCTCTTTTCGCATCTTTTAAGAATTAAAAAAAAATTTGCTTAGAGGCTATTGAATATTCCTTGAATTGATAATTTTCATTTCGTATCGTCATCGATTAACACATCACAAATGTATGATAAAATAATCTTTGTCTTACCTGAGCATTTGAGAGACCCAAGGCGGCAGCAATTTCATCACGATCAGCAGGTGAGAGATATTTTTGATAAAGAAATCGTTTTTCGAGCTCAAAAATTTGATGATTTGTGAATGCTGTGCGCGATTTTCGTTTCTTTTTTGGCTGCGGTCGTGTTGCAAATAAATTTAAATGTGAATTCTCTGTAAAGGAATAAAAGAACGGGAGGGAAATAAATGTTAATAAATTTTTTAATTTCGCAATCTTTTCATGTTGGCGATGGAAAATGATAAATAAGATCAATAAATGACACAAAATATTCTGCTTTTTTTTTGTTGCTTCTTTGTGAAATTAAGGGAAATAAAAGTGCAGAATTGGTGACTTATTGAAGAGTTTGGGTGTGGACTTTGTGGAGTTTTTAGATGCTGTGGCTACTTTTTGCTTTATAGAACCCCTAAAACCCCTTGCAGGGGTACTTAAGGTTTTAGGGTACGTCGTTTATTCAAGCAACATTGAAAGTTCTGCTATATGTAAGAGAACAAGCTTTGGACCAGTTTCTAGGGCTCTACAAGATGCCCTACCATATTCATAGTCGAACTTTTAAATATTCCATAGTTAAGTCCATTAATTTTCAATTCTGGGAAAGAGTATCGTGCATAGCTTTCAACGTAAGTCATTAATTGGGTCTTTACAGTATTTCCAGTCAAAATTATGTCTCATGCAAGATACAGTCATCCAAAGTTAAGCAGATTTAGCATCAGTGGCTTAACCACGAAGAAAACTATTCGTGCTAACCTATTCCTTCTTGCAAATTTTTTTAAAATCTGTAAAATCCAGTGTTGCTCAAACTTTTCAAACTCATAATAATAACAGTAATGTGTGAAGGGCCCAGCCTTTTAGCTGAAGGCACTGCGATTCAAATTAGAACATAATCTATTGTACCACACCCTTCAGACCTACAGTTTATAGTGGGATCCGAACCACTTGCAATTATTTGCATATTATTTGATACTACTGATCAATCTAGGTTTCTCTCGCAAAACATTAGTGCCCGGTAGTGCCTAACCGTTATTCAATGATCTCATCCGTAGAGCACAATTCGGTTAATCCATTAGAAATCTAGCATAGTGACTCTGGCATAGGGATTGATTCGATTTGAGCCCAGCATTTTGCCAGAGTTTCGCCAGATTAGTGTTGAATTCCTATTCGATTAACCGAATTGTGCTATTTGGGTAGGGTGACCATCTGCGTAGTTTTACAACGGACAGTCCTGTATTTCAAAACCCTGTCCTGTATAAATTTGAAAATTTTGTTCCAGGTCCTGTATTTTTTTCACAAAAAATTTCCGTTAATTTTCAAGTCTTCCTTTGTGTCCTGTATTTTTTAGGAAATTTATCAAATGTTCTGTATAATTTTAAAAATTAGATGGTCACCCTATATTTGGGTCAATATTCCTGCTAAAGTAAAAGACTGACAGAGCAAAAGGTTCCTGTCCCATAATCTCAAACTTCTACAGCATCCCACAAAGACCTAATTTCACAGATTCTCATCATCATCACATTACAACCCTGAAAATCATCATCTCCCGAAGAGATGAAAAAGAGATGTAAAATAATTTTCATAATTTTATGCCGGTAGCGCCGTTTTATGCCTTATAAGAGGCGACTAAACAGCAAGCGTTGATCATAAAACAAAATTGAATCTTTTTGATTCTCCTCTTTCTCTTTTTCGGCATTCGCATTTTGGCCTTTTTTCCACACTCATGTGTGCTGAGCATCTTCTGGATTCATCATACACCGCGGCAATATTCAAGTCTTTTTTTTTTTTGGTATTTTATAAGAGAGAAATTTATAACTATCATAATCTATTTGATGTGATGATTGGACATAAAATATGATTTGAATAATTCTACATGACCGTATGCTGTAGTCGCGCATGCTTCCTTTAGATCTTTTAACGCACCTCACCTCTTTAGATCTCGTTCGGAATTGATCAAAACTTAATTTTTCATTAACGAATTTCTCTTCTAATTTTATGTGCCTGTCTTCTTCTTCTTAATATCTTGTTTCTTTATTTTATTTCAGACTTAATAATTTTTTTTTTGTGTTTTATTCGGCGAACGTTTTTTAATCGCTCATCATCAAATATTAAATTTTTCATTTCCAATTAAAATTGAAATATAAAAAAGATCTTTATGAGATATGAGACAATATTCGATATGAGTATGCTATTATGGATTTGTGGCTTGTTGAGGTATTAGATAGTGAGTTTTAAAGATGTTCTGTTGAATATATCAGTGTGGGGGCAAATAAGGTTAATTGCTGGGGAATGAAACATTTAGGTTTGGTTGGATTTGAGCATGAAGTGGTAACAAGAAGTGATAAACTTTGATTCTGTGACTAGCGCTGATGATTCTTAAGTCAGTGATAATTTATACCAAAGACAACCGACTCAAACTTAAGACTTGAAATTCAATAAAGGTCAAAATTAATCAACATAGACTTAAATAGTTCAATCTATAACTTCTTAAATAATACAAAATAAATTAGCGAACCTAGTTCAGAATCCAAGGCCTGTATCTTGCACAACCCTACTCTAGTGTCAAAAATCGATGACCTTCACTTTCGGTAACCCTGTCTTGGCTAAGGAAGGTGCATTTATGACTCCAAGCATCCAAAATATTCACAAACCCAATCCACAAATCTCTCATCCCTGTCATCAACTTAATCACCACAAAAAAATTACTTTAATCCCCATCCAGACACAAAAGATTAGTAAAGATTAAAAATTATAATCCTAAATGGATGCGATTAAACTCGAAATTTACTGAATTATAAAGAGAAATCTCAACCTAAACGAGCATGAAGAAACTCATGAATATTCAACATTTAATAATTGAAAGAAAAATCAGTCAGAAAAATATTAAATTGGTAAATCTGACAACTCATTTTTGATAATCTCAACTTGTTGATAATAAAATGTCATGAAAATTGGACTTAAGATTTTTTTTTCTTTTTGTGGTCGTAAATAAATGTTTAATTTTCTGATGAAAATTTTAAGGGAAATCTTTGTTTATGTGACATGGAATTTTTTTTTTTTGGGTTATTATGATAAGAAGATTTGGAGGTTGTATTGATATTGATGATTTTTTAAAGAAGATTGAGTTTCAAAATGTTTAAATCGATGGAGGAAGGTCTGATTGGTTAAGGGATTTCAAAGCTGTGGACATTGTTCAAATCCTTGTCATATTTGCAACAATGCTTTAACACAGTGTTATCCAAACTTTTTTGATCCACGGCCCACCTTAGGCCTTGACCGAAATCGAACACAACATAAAAATTCATCAGCACACTAGTGTGCCGCGGCACACAGTTTAAACAACACTGCTCCAACATAATAACTGAAAGATAAGCATCTGATGGGAATTGAACCAGCGTTCTCAAAGATTGACTTCTGCTGTCCATTCACTCAGTAATAAGGCTTGCCTTCAAACTGACAGATTCACTAACCTAAACATCGAGATCACAGATTATATTCTATTATAAATCGACAGTAGCCACTCATTTAAATCGAACTTTACTTTTAATAAAAATAAATACTGATAAAAATCAAAAAACAAACTTCCTTACCAGATCTACGTTCCCAAAGCCCTTAAAATCCATCAATAATTCCTACAAACAATTCTTTATGATACGCCACTGACCTCATGCCCAACATTCCATTCCCAATTTCAAGCAGATGATTGAATAAATAAGGTTACAAAGTCACACACCACTACCTCAATTTTTCCACATGACTAGAGTCACAAAACCCAATTTCATGTAGACTATCTCCTCATCCGAATCAAAAAAAATTCAAAGTCATTTAATTTTTAAAAACTAAAACATCGCGTGGATATTAATTAAATACAATAATTTGTTGTAATTATCGATAAAAATCTACATTTTAAAAGAATATTCAGTCGCAATTTTTAAGTTGCATTGAAAGAAAAATCTCTTATTTTCCCATATTATGGGTCGTTTGTAAATTAGGTTTGTCATTTAAGAAGTAAGGGGTGTGAAGCTAGACAGTGGAACTAATCAATTGAATTTTATAATTTTTTTTAGGATTTTTGGCATACTTGAACTGAAGTTATATGGAAGAATGGAACTAAAGGGGGGGAAGGAAGGAAAGGGGAAAGAGAGAAGGGAAGAAAGGGGAAAGGAGGAAGGGAAGAAAGGGGAAAGGGGGGAAGGGGACAAGAGGGAAAGGGGAAAGTGGGCATTTTAAAAACTCCATTTTCGATGGAAGTCATAGTTTAATGGACCATAAAGAGTCATTTCAGGTGTAGAGCCAGGAAGGGGGTGAGGGGGGGGGGGGGGGGGGGGGGGGGGGGGGGGTCAATTCGAGTCACAAATCTTTATTTTGCTAAGGTTTTTATAAGAAAATCCTAATCCTTTTCCAGTTGATTTTTTTGCCCCCCCCCCCCCTCTTCCTGACTACGCCTCTGGTCATTTGTAAAAGATCTCTAGTTCCTTCTCAAGTATGGTACACACCAGGGGCGTAGCCAGAAAATTTTTAAGGGGGGGCCCATTTTCGAAAATTAAAAAACCGTTATTTTGTATCCTTAAATCTATATTCAATCTTTATAAGTTTAAATATTTAATTCATTATTCATACATTAAATTTAATTTTTCGTGCTGATTTTGACATTTCTTTCATCACTTTCTCTACATTAACTGGTTCTTCTCCATAAATACTTAATAAAACAATTATCAGATTTTCGTAGGGGGGGCCCAGGCCCCCTATGCCCCCCCCCCCCCCCCCCCCTGGCTACGCCCCTGGTACACACTGCTAATCCCCCCCCATAAATTTTAAACATTATTTATAAACAAGTCAGTCCGATGAGAGCTTCCTCTCATTCCAGTTTTGCTGCTCATCTCGATTCAATTTACTTTAAAATGTCAACCTTAATCTGCCTGTTAAAACACACACAAGAACCAACAGAAAATTATTTTTTCGTCTATAAAATGGAATTCTTCTTTATTTATTTTCTTAATCTAAAGTGACATTTGTGTGTTTTATTCTCTCCGTTTCCCTTTTGCTTCTTATTCTTTTATAATATCATTCTTCCTTCTCATTTCTACATTCTACATTTGTATACACATTTTTATTGTTGTTGGCTCTTTTTTTTTATGTTATTAAAAATATGTTTAATCGACCA